CTTGTCCGTCTGTCTAGCTGTCCATCTGTCTGTGCAAAAGTGTCCGATGCATATATCCTTTAATGAGGAACATTAAAATCTACTACTCCGCACAAAGATTGTCCATGACCTAAGTGTGTGTCATGACCTTGACCCAATGTCATTTGGGGAACTTCAAGGTCACTGGAAGAAAAATTTTATAATTCGTGTCCGGTCCAGATCTTTCTTATTGATAAATTTGGTAGGTTCCTATTTCACATAAAGATTACCCTAATATTGTGTCATGACCTTGACCCAAGATTATTTAGGGAAGTTCAAGGTCACTTGAAGAAAAATTTCATTATTCGTGTCCAGTCCAAATCTTTCTTATGGATAAACTTGGTAGATTCTCATTTTACACAAAGACTGCCCATGACTTAAGGGTGAGTCATGACCTTGAACCAAGGTCATTTTGGGAAGTTCAAGGTCACTGAAGAAAAATTTCATAATCGTGTTCGCTCCATATCTTTATTATGGATGAACTTGGTAGGTTCTCATTTCACACACAGACTGCTCATGACCTAAGAGTGTGTCATAACCTTGACGCAAGGTCATTTGGGGAAGTTCAAGGTCACTTGAAAAAAAAATTATTTGTGTCTGGTCCATATCTTTTTTATGGCTAAACCTAAATACTTCACACAAACATTGCTTATTCCTATTTCACATGACTTTGATCCAGATTAATGCAAGGTCAAGGTCACTGACAGAAAAAGTTCATAATTCGTGTCTGGTCCGTGTATGACCTGGTTTTTTTTTATTAGGATGCTCAAGGTTATTTATGAAAATATTATGAGCAATTACATTTGCATTAAAAAAATTTTAGCATTTCTCTCTCTCTGTCCAAATAAGATCCATTAAATATTCATGATTTAGCACCTCTGAAAAACCCAGCGGGGTATTTAGTCCCGTTTGGACAGATCTAGTTTAAACAAAGACTGAATATCCTTATAGTGATTTGAGACACCGGCTTCTAGGGAAAATTTTCTGGATGACCTTAAACCAAAAGAATTTCATTTTGGGAAGGGGCTTCAAGGTCACTGAGTAAAAAATAATCTTAATCGTTATGAAGAAAATCGCTGTCATTTGATTGTTTTATTGCACACAAAGACTTTGTGATATATGTATTGGAATGAGGTGGACGCGCTGGCGCCCTGAATATTTTTCAGAGGTGCCGAATATTTAATGGATCTTATTTACAGCTAATGAGAGTTTATGCTAAATTTCATATTTAATTTGAAATGTACGGATGATGCTTTAATTTTTCTGATTTTTTATAAATATGAGTTACTATAGGCAGAAATGTAAAAATACGCTTAAACATTATTCACACTTTAGCTAAAGCTTTTTCACACTCGTTAGTTGACCTTGCAATAACAAATGGCCTTGGATCAAAGTCATGACAGAAAACACACACAGGTAATAGGCATTCCCTGTGTTGTGTGAAGACAAGTGCGAAAGTCTACAAAAGAATTTCAATTGGGCTGGGGCTGTCGAAGTATTTGCTTAATTTATAAAGCATCGCTGTCATATTTTTTAATGCAGAGAAAACATGTGATATATGTATAAATAGAAATAGAAACCATGTCTTACAGCTAATGAAAGTTTGACTGCAAATTTCATATATTTGAGAAAAACTTTCTTTATTTTCCTGATTATTTATAAATATGGTCACTGAATGCCATTATTCTTATACACTTTAGCTAAAGCTTTTTCATACTCGTTAGTCAATCATATTGTCTGCAATTTGACCATCCAAAATGTAAAAAAAAAAGTACAAAAGTCTACATTTTCTGGACTTTGAGTATTTCTATTTTTAAACTCATGTTACTAAAAAGAAATAGAAACCTCTGCTTCACATTCTGTATTTCGTATATGCTTTCTTTTACTTGTTAGCAATAAAAACATATTGTCTATTGCTCATCCAAAATGTGAAAAAAGTACAAAAAACTGTAGTTTACAGTATGTCTATTTTTAAACTCATGTTACTATAAATAGAAATGGAAACCTCTTCTTCACATTCTGTATTTCATATATGGCTTTCTTTTACTTGTTGGTCACCATATGCCAATAGCAGTAAAAACAGACAGTCAGCAATTGCTCATCCAAAATTTGAAAAAAGTACAAAAAAGTACATTTCTCTGATAGTTTACAGTAAGTCTATTTTTAAACACATGTTACTATAAATAGAAATGGAAACCTCCGCTTCTTATTTTGTATTTGTTATAATGCTTTCTTTTACTTGTTGGTCACTATATGCCAATAGCAGTTAAATACAGATAGTCAGCAATTTTTCATCAAAAAATTTAGAAAAAAGTACAAAAATGACATTTTTCCGATATTTTGCATCACGTCTATTTTTAAAACATGTGTTACTATAAATAGAAATAAAAACCTCTGCTTCTCATTCTGTATTTCGTATATGTTTTCTTTTACTTGTTGGTCACCGTATGCCAATTAGCAGTTAAAAACATATTCTGCAATTTTTCATCCAAAATGTGAGAAAAAAGTACAAAAAACTACATTTTTTCTGAAATTTTTTTCAAACATGTGTTACTATAAATAGAAATGGAAAACCCTGCTTCTCATTCTGTTTTTAATATAAGGCTTTCATTTACTTGTTGGTCACCATATGCCAATAGCAATTAAAAACAGATAGTCAGCAATTATTCATCCAAAATTTTAGAAAAAAGTACAAAAAACGACATTTTTACTATATTTTGCATTACGTATATTAAAACGTGTTACTATAAGTAGAAATGGAAACCTCTGCTTATCATGCTGCATTCCATTGAATGTTCTATTGTTCTTGTCAGTCACATAATATCAGTTACAGTTAGTGACAGTTAGTCGGTACATTTCCCATCTCTAATTTGAGAATTTTTGGAAAATCAACATTAAACAGTTAATTTCATGTGTGTATATTTTTAGACATTTGTACTATTTATAGAGATGAGAGCCTGTCCTAAATAATTTGTGAGATATTATACTATTCCTTGTTCTTATTGATGAAATATTGGAGAGATCCATATTTATATGATTTATGATTCAGTGGAGCTTCAAAATGAGGGAAAATTGACATTTTTCATCATTTTTATGAGACATGTCTATATTTAGGCATTTGAAGCTATAAATAGAAAACGGAAATCCCTGAAAATAATATGCATGGTAGTTATTGGTGTCCAGTCTCTGACATTAGCACATTGACTTTTACAGTATATTTCATAATTACCCAGCAATGGCATCTAAAACTCTGCCCAATTTTCATTTTTTGGATTTTTCTGAAATATGTCTATTTTTAGATACATGTTACTAAAAATAGCATTGAGATCCCACTCCAATTTTTTCATGAGTGGACACTACTATGCTGAAGTTTGACGACACACATATGATTTGAAAAATTTCCGTAGACAATTTTTTTTATTTCACCTTTAATTTCTCAAAAAATGCCAAATTTTCCATTTTTCACATTTTGAAAAACTATGCTATTTTACCGAACCATTTTCTAAAAGTGGGGTCAATTCTGGAATAACTGGTTATATGCGTTGTATTCTTTAACAATTGATGTTTTCTTATGAAACAAAGATTTATATTTGAGTTCACTACATAAAGATAAAAATGCATTCATATTTCTTCAATTTTCATGCTTTTGTTTGGTCAAAAATGGCCGAAAATGGCCAAATTCAATGGATCTGTCTCCATGGCAACCGGGTGCACGTGGGAAACTTCTTACACCATATTTGCTGGTTTTGTACCAAGCTGCACCTGTGGTGCAAATTTCATCAAAATCGGAGATATGTCGTTTCCAAGCCCTATAGTAAATTTTTTGGTGCTTACAGAGAATGCATGTTAACGCAATAAAAACTTAGGTGATATTCTCACCTCCTCAACAATTAAATAATTTAATTTAATATTATGTGTAGATACATAAATGCATAATGCAAATAAACTCCTGATGAGGCGGATTTGCAGCAATATGAAGAAAATTATTTCTTCATCATAAATCAATTTATAAAAATATACCTCGTTTCACACCGCCGAAACACTAAATTAGTGTAGAGTCAAGTGATCGGAGGTACGAGGCTGATGGGAGCCACCTGTTTAAAATATATCTCCATCAAAGTTTGATTTAGGGGGCAAATATTGGTTATTACCGAATAAAGTTCTTTGTTTTTAGAGTTTAAAGCAAAATGGATTCAAGTTTCATTATCTGTTTGAATTTCAGACAAACGTGGATAAGTACATTTTTTGATTTTTAAAAATTATTGTTTAGATATTCCTACACGCTGTGTTTTCACTCATGTTTCAAAATATAGGGTGACTTTTGAGCATTAAACTTCTTTCTATCAAATGTTTCTTTAAAACAGTGTAAACTACCCCCAAAATGATTTTTATCAATTTTGCTATGTTCTTAAAGTCAATAAAACATAATCAATAATAATTTGTTGAATTTTCTCAAATCTACATTGGTTGTTGTATTCATTGTTGCCAAGGACGGTATCCATTTCTGATGCCCATTATATAATTTGTGTTTATTAAAATTTACTTGTTCATGTTTCTATAAAACAGCCATTAGTTGCTGTAAATTCCCATATTTTAGTTAATATATTTTTGAGATATTTACAAGTTTAACAGCTGCTTTAATGAAGCGTTTAATTTTACTCTAGTTTACTGATTCTTGACTATTCATTTTGAATGCAGTGTCTCAAATAGCCCTTGTTTTCCAACTTCCCACAATGAAAAAATGCGATAAAAGTGGTCACATAAACTATTATCAATTCATTAAAGATTCAAGAATGAAAGGAAGTCAAGGTTATTGTCACATGACTTCTATGTTGTATGTCATCAAGCTAATGACATTATTTATTGAACGCCCCTCGTATCAGTTATAAGATGATATAAACAAAAGCAACCAACAGAGAAACATCCCCAATGAAACATTGTGAAAAAAAAAATTCTGAAAAAAGTAGTTAGAGTGTTTTTTAACCGTCCTGGTCGTTCTTGCGATTAAATGGGGTAGTAGTTGTTATTTGGTGAACGAAGGTCGTGTGCACCATTATAGTTGTTCTGCGCTAAGAGCTTGTGGTGTGCGGTGTAGTTGTATCTGTATTGATACTAGATCAATTAATAAATTTAAGAAAAACTTTATTTATAATCAAAAAGATATGTAATGAATAAGATTTACATTTAGAAAAAAAAATAAGAAAATCTAAGTAATGCATTTTCTCTTAAGTTTGATTATTTTTCAAAAATAACAAGGTTAATATTAAACATTGTCGTTCTGTACCGGATAAACATGTAGGAAAGTGCCTAAATCGGCTAGAAATAACCCATACAAGAAGGAGGGCTGAATGTTATATCATCGTTCTTTTTTTATTTTTCTAAGATTCATAATACTCCTTACACACAATGATACATTGCTGGTTTAGCAACTGCGCCTTATCTTTATCTTTACAATAATATTATTGCTGTTAAGGAGAAACTTCAGTCGAATTACGTATACCTTTTTACACTTCGTACAAAAATACCTAACGACAAATTGAAATCTAGACGTTTTGGTATCATAAACAACTGCTTTTTCAATATTAACAGAACTCATATATGTTTACATCTTGTGATTATTCACCAACAAAATAGCTCTTCCTTAAAAACCACTGTGACTGCAAACTCTTCAGATGAGACCGTATTAATCGAGGTCCCGTGTCGCAGTAGGTGCTGATACAAAAAAAAACTTCACTGCTCAATGGCTCTCAGTGCTGAGTATAGGAAAAATTTGTAGCTCTCTATCTTCAAGTGGTGGCGTTTCAATACGAGTGAAAAATTCTCGAGAGTGACTTTAGCAACATACAATCAACCAATTGATCAACATTGACAGGGATGAATGTCATTGAATAATATCATTGGTGATGAGAGAGAAAATTTTGGCTTTTTAAGTTTCCAAATTCATTAACTATCAATACAATATTTAAGCTAATAAATTATTTATAAATCATATTTCTGTGTTTACCATTACTTAGTATAGAAATGTTTTTTAAAGAAAATTTTTCACTAGTTTTTCTTTGTATATTTACGTAGCTTTAGTTGAACCGTGCTTTTCTTGAATCATTACCTGTCATTAGGTCAGTCTGGCATAAAGAGGTATGTGTTGCACTGCAGGGTAAAGGTATAGGTTCATATGTCTCTGATTGGTAGCGAACCCCGATACATACTGTCCCATCCTGCAAGGTGCTGTTACCTGTCCAAATATGTAAATATTTTAGTTAATAATCTGCATGAAAAGCAGTTGATAGATTCATTTGTCTTTTTAATCTGTATCCTTTATTATTTTAGATTAAAATCCAAGATACTGGTAACACTTAGCTCACAAATAATACACCAATCTCTCATATTTGTATAATGGCAAAGTATATTTCTTAGCAGTTTGTAAATGAAATTGTTTAAAAGTTCCATTGACTCCGTTCTCTCCATATTTTTCATTCAAGGGTTCAAGAGGGGTTGCATTAACATTAAAAAAATTTCAAAGTGAATTACATTTGGGACCAAATTAACGCACTTTGAAAAAATAGTGTATTTTTCAAAGTGCGTTACAATCTACCATATTAACGCACTTTGAAAAAAGTTGATGGCTTGGTCAATATTTTTGCAAATCTCAGGTATGATAAATAATTGAACCTGTTTGACAACTCTTTGGTCATGAGGTCACTTCTGGATGTGAAAGTGAGCGATTTTGATTTTTAAATGTTTTACTGTACTTAATTTTTTCCATTTTGAGCGCATTTTATATATAAACTAAAAGTTATTGAAAGTTTTCAATGTCATACCAGTTATATGCAAATACATTTATTTGGGTGAAACATATGCATCGGTACCGGGAAGGGGGTCTTTTGCACACAAATGTTTTGCAAAGATATATAGGCATTTTCAACTGGGGTTTACCTTTAAGGGGGTCCACTTTCAATTTGCTACCGACTGCTATGTACAATGTATAAGAAAAATAAGTTGGGTTGAGAGACTTTCTACTCGTCTTCTCCTTGTTCCCAATGTGGTTAAATGAGTACATGTAAATTAAAATGTTTCTTCGACAGATATAACTAATGCAAATTCATTCTCTCAATTACTAAAATCTGAGTCTAGAGTTTTTTGTTTTATAGATATATTTGTTTCAAAGTGCGGTAAATGTCCCATGGTAAAAATATTTATATACACTCTTATCGCACTTTGAAAAAAATTTTCAAAGTGCGTTGAGTGTGTCTAAATTCAAAGTGCGTAATTTTTTCAAAAAGCGTTGCCACAATGCCCCTTTTGTCACAAAAAAAATGATAAAATCAATGTTTAACTATTGGATATTCTTAGAATGGTTTTTTCTTTACACTTAAAGTAATAATAGTCGTTTGGAATTGATATGCGAAGTAGAGATCGGTCCTGTAAAAATCGATATCTCTGTCGCGGAAGGTGATGGTGCGAAACCTCCCTATTCTCAAAGGGCATAAGGTTCGCGTCCGGGTCTAAATTTACAGCCCTCCACCGGAAAGTGGAGGCGTTTCAATATGAATTTTCAAAAATTTCTATGACGTGACATTAAGTGTATGTTGCATGCAAAACAAATCAGTAAGTTGTAAAGAGTTAATTCGATATTCCCCTATGAACTCGCAATAATCACCATAGACTCTCACACGTCTGTTGGATATTATACTAGTGAAAGATGTTGATGGAAATTAAAGGAAAGTAGTAAAAAAATATTTTTTTAAAAAAATGTAGATAAACTTTTCAACTTTTCAATCAATTTCCCTTAGTTATATAACAATAAATTACTATCACATGCATATGGAATTTTTGTTTCCCACTTGAATCGATAAGAAGGTGCTTATATACGTACGAAAAATTTCAAAAACGATCGAGATAAGCGTCTGACAAAAGTTTTATGTTTTACTTATTTTAATGCAAAATATATTTTTTGGTTCGAACATGTCCATGATTTGTTCTGCATTGAGGATTACCCTCTGTTACCATGTATGATACCATGTATGAGATCTTCCATAATTTAACTATACAGAAGAGAGAATAGAATAGGCAATAGCCTTGCTGATGTCCTGTTCGCATTTCATACAGGTCTGAACAAAAATGTGACATGGTTTTTATGCCTTTTTTAAAGAATCATATTATATTAAGGCCAACAGAAGCTTACCTTTCCTATCACTTATAATCAGTCGACGTAAGTAAGGAGTCCATCTTGGAAGTTTATTATAATCAATCCCTTGGCGTTTCAGACTTTCTGTCCATGTATATCCCATACTATCTATTGTTAATAAGACATTAAATTAAAATACATCAGCCATTCATTAAATGAAAGAAAATAAGTCAATTTGGTACCACCAATCGCGCACCTGGGAGCATCACAAGGATACGTCTCATTGCCTTCTTCTGTCTCTCTAGACACTCGACTAGACTATCCTCTACAACAAAAGTAATTTTTAACAACTTCTTGTATTGTTATTACACTAAAAAATACATAAATAGAATCTTAAATTTTAAAAAATCCGAAATAATTTTTTATGCTCCAAACAGTCAAATATAACGCGGTTATTTTTAGGCTTAAAGCCATTGGTCAACAGAAAGCAATTGTTACTTTCCAATAAAAGTTGAAAGTAGATAAAGGTTTTAAAATATCATGAAGTGTAACTCAAGCATAGTAGCTATGAACTTATTTTGTAATGGTAACCAACTTCACCTATATATGTGACATCATTCATTTTTCTATACATGGCGATTCCATTGTAATCCCCTGCTTGCCCAGCATCATATTTGGGTCCAACTAAATCTTTCAAAAAGTTTTCAGAATTCTGAAGTTTGCAGGTCTTGTTTGTAACTGAGCCCAGTTCTGTTTTCTCATTCTCTCTGCAGAAGCAATGTGTTCCCTACAATTATAACGAGAATTGAAAACTATATTCAAACTTTAAGCATAAGGATTTCTGTCTATGTAAGGTGTTTTACTAAAGCTAAAAGGATTATTCTATCATCGTTTGCTTTTTCTTCAATGTATTTGGCTGTCACGGTAGCTCAAACTGTAGAGTACTTGCTCCGTGTTCGGATGGTCATAAGTTCGAATCACGATTATAACTGACCCTAGTCGATAAAAAAAAAATGGGTAGCAACTGTTCCTTCCCTATTTGCTCGGCACTTGAAGTGAAAGTTGTGGGTCCTTCGGATGAGACCTTAAAAACCGAGGCCTCGTGTCAAGGTAGACGTTGGCACGATAAAGATATTCTTCACTGCTGAATGACCATATGTGCCGAGTAAAGGTAAAAATTTCAAGCCGTTCTGTAATGACTTCTCTATATGAGTGGAATATTCTCGAATGGGACGTAAAATATTCAATCAAACATATATTTGAATTTTTTTAAAATGAAATATTGTAAAAAAAAATTTATTTTTGGCCGTCACAATAGCTAACTTGCCACCTCTCATTGATTTCTGAAGACTTGTATCTTAAATATATGCATTACATTTCAAGTTATATACCTCCAATCCTCTATACCCCCAAGCTGTCCTGGCTACTTGGGGTACAAGACTGACAGTCTGTACTGTCATACTGTTCAATAGGCACCGTCCTTTGGTGCCCCAAGTAGTCAGGCCAACAAATTAAGTTTTCCTCCTACAGGCTGTCTAGGTTGCTTGAGGTACAAGACCGAGCAACCTGGTTTTTCATTTTTCTAGCCTGCTCAATAGGCATCGCTCCTTGGTACCTTATGTTACCAGGCCAACAAAATATATATACTTTTTGTAATAATATGATTATTATTAATAATAATTTGATAACATGTACTTGTATGCTATTATCCGCCTGGTCATTGCAGTATAAAGGAGCTTGGTATTTTATTAATATTATTATTTATTTATTTTTCTTCATATTTTATTATTATTATTATATCATATGTAATGCTAATATTTCATTGTGAACTACCCTGTATATCAGTATTTCAAATCTGAGAACTTTTACAAGTGAGGATCATGTCAATTTTGCATTGTTATAATAATAATTATATTGTTTGTCTCTTAATTGTATATGCCCCCAGAGGGCCCTTGATTGGTGAATAAATAAATAAATAAACATTGATGGGAAGGTCGTTAGTTCAAACTTTAGCTGCGACTAACCTAATTCGAATAAAAATAGCAGATAACCTATCCTTCGCAAAGGCTAAGTACATTGAAAAGAAGTCGCAGTTTTAAAAAAAAAACTTTAAAAAAAACAAGGTTCTATGTCACAGTTAGTGCGATAAAGATTTTCACTGCTTGTAGGTCCTCAGTGCTAAATGAAAGTGTAAATTTGAAGTCATTTAGCAGTAAATGTCAAAACCTCACCCATCTATGGAAGTGAAAACGTCACCGGGAAATGAAAAACTTTTCAATCAATCAATCGAATTCAGTTTTATCGTTGTCCTTGAATTTTATAGAAAACTGTAAGTGTTCCTTTTTCTTTTACTGAAGATACTTTTTATTTGCGCAATTTTTCCTACTTAATTCAATACTGATATAAAAGCTGGAAACTTCGGATTTCCATCTTTGTCTTGATGTCATGAATGCTCGGTTAGAAATACGCATGCTTACATTTATGCCGAATTCCTTGTAGTTATCGTTCCAAACTTCACATATTTGATGACATTCAGCGACAGGACCTATACTTGAGGGGGACGTCAATTTTCTACTGAATGAAGGAGGGACAAAATACAGGAAGCATCCTGGAAAAAACAACATAACTTAACGTAGGAAAACAACTAATCTTTTATACGAATTAAATCAAAAAAATATATTTATCATTTATAGTCCAGTTAATTTATTGCAAGACTTTTCTTTCAACGGTGACACTGATATTGAGATGTAAAGATAAATTTGCAAAAACTTGATTTGTTTTGTAATCTACTGGGTATTCGTGTTAATTCTACATATGAAAGAGAGAGAGAGAGAGAGAGAATTGATATGTTGACATAGCCAATATATATTTTTTTAATTTCGATTTTTGTAATAGGATGAGAAAAGCCCTTTAACGAGGAATTCTTGTCTCTTTTCTGACTAGATGCAATGTTCAAAATGTATTTAGTCTTTCTAAACATCTAAATATATGAAATTTAAATCATTCTTGTTCCATTCTCAAGATTGAAAAACTTTAAATAGAAATGGTATAATGATATTAATCTTAGTTTGAAATATAGCAGGAAGTATATTTTTAGCGGAACGGCGGCATATGAAAATTTTTTTTTTTGCTGCTGTAGAAATACATTTTAGTTCAGAGTAATTTTTTCTCTATAAAATCCATTAGAAAGGATGAGGTGACTTGCGGGCCCCGGTAAATTAACAAAATGTAAAATGTCTAAATTTTACTCAAATTTTTGTACGTAATTATTCACTGATATGTGTACCTTTATCGAATACTATTTTTAACAAAAATAGAAACGTGTTTTGAAAGATAGAGATTATTTATTGGGTTAGGGGTATCATTTTTACATTCAATTCCCATTGCATTTTAACCCCACCCCACTCTTTGAAGCCTTAAAATATACGAGCGAAGGCAGGTACAGTTTTCTCCTTTGGCTTGTCACTGTATTCTATCAAAATCTACCTATTTGTGAAAGGAGAAAAGTGTACCTAACTGCGCTCACATGCTTTAAAAAAAATAGTAAAATCTATATAGCTGGCCTTTCCCATTATGATCAGATCGACGGAACTAGATTTTCTGACGTGAGAATAAATTCATATTCTAAACGAGGCACTGGCTATACTTTATTACTGACCAATCAGCTAAATGAAATTCGTTATGAGTGAGTACCACAAAAATACTATGGGAACATGCTTGGAATTTTACTGCTTTCCAATATTTTTTAATGCATTTGAGTCAAAGATTAGACATGGATCTACATATTTACAATTTCCGAGATCACAGTAAAGGTTGATGAGATAAACCCCGGTGAGCTTGCAATAAAAGATATCAAAGTCTGCCTCATGTATCTGTTTTAAATAAGATATAAGAATTGAAAGAACATATGAAAATTGTTCATTATATCAAAGGAACACAATGACAACTGCCCATCAATTTATTAAGCTAGTTTCAAAATTAATTGATGGGCAATTATCATTGTGTTCCTTTGATATAATGAACAATTAACAAATTTGGATATTTTACTTGAAAAAGACCTTATAATAATCTAACAACAAAGCTTTGTTATAAATATGATGACTTTAACTTTTTAATCGTCAACTTCTCTTACTTATACTGCAATATATCTTTATTAAATGCATGGGGTTCTATAACTCTCAGTTAATTCGATACGAATGGGCATGTTCTATGTACAAACAACTCTTAAACGAAGTAAGATATTGACAAACAAGATTATGAAACAATAATGATAAGAACAGTCTCGTTTAAAGTCATCATTTCGTAAGTTCTATGGTGGATACAATGACCTTGTCAGCAAATACAATTTACATTGAGTCAAATGCTGACTGACATTTTTCATACTTATTGTTAGTCTATAATTTATACACTGAATTGAGACGGATTTTTCGGTTTTTCCCGAGAATGACAAGGAGCACACGGCAAGTGTGACCTGTCGGCAGGGAATGCTCACTCCTCCATGGTACCTGATCCAACCTCCGATGTTTTGAAGGTCCATTTTTGCTCTGCTCCTGTTTTGTATTTTTTATTATGGACTTGAATAATGTTCGTTATATTCATATGTTTCATTTTAATGAGTGAACATTCAATCCTTTTTTGATATCCCGGTATGTTAATATTATTGTTCTAGGCCCACTAATCCTTTTCCTTAACTGAATTCCTCTCCTTTTTTAAGAATATTTTGTACCATACAATTCGGAGTAGACGGTGAAATACTCCATATTATCATTAATATCACCAGATTTAAAAAACGCTTACTTATACACCATATCAATAGTCTTTCTATTTTTGATAACAATAATGTTGAACAACAGCAGAAATCAGGAAGTATATAAAAACAAGGACCCATGGGCCACATCGCTAACCTGAGTTACTGTGGTGATGCAGTTCTTTACCAGATTTTCCCTCTTCTTACATCTATCATGCCACCCGTCATTACTTTAAAAATTTAGAATTTACACTACCCACAGGATGCTTCCCCATAAATGTTTGCTTTTATGCTTCAGGGGTTCTTGAGAGGAAGATTTTTAAATGAATATATTCTTTATATTTTAATGTAAAAATTTGATTCTTTATTGTGCCCCCCCCCCCTTCCCCGAAGGTCATGATTTTAACAATTTAGAATCTAC